GTGGTAGAGGCGGGCACGATAGCGTCATTTAAGATGTATCTAGACAGATACATGAATGGGCAGGGAGCAGAGGGATACAGATCCTTGGAAAATAGGCGACAGGTTTAGATCAAGGATCTGGATCGGCGCAGGCTTGGAGGGCCGAAGGGCCTGCTCCTGTGCTGTAATTTTCGTTGTTCTTTGAACTCCATTTGCCTCTCCTCAGCTCACTGGCCCAATTGATCAAGATCTTGTTGTACACTTATATAACCTTCTTCACCACCCATTATACCACCAATTTTTGGTGTCATCCACCAACTTACCAACCATGCCTCCTAATTCTCATCCAACTGTTTATATAAATGGCAAACAACAGTGGGCCCAGCATCGATCCTTGTGGCACATCGCTGGTCATAGGCCTCCAGTCTGAACAACAACCCTCCACCACACCCTCTGTCTACTACCTTCAAGCCAATTTTCTGTCTGATTGGCAAGCTGTCCCTGGATCCCATATGATCTGTCCTTACTAAATAGTATCTCATGTGGACTCTTGTCAAAGCTTTTACTGAAGTCTATGTGGACAATGTTGACAACTCTGACCTCTTCTATCTTTTGGGATTCATCCTCAATTAAGTCTGTGAGACACAGTTTCCAACACACAAAGCTATGCAGACTATCCCTAATCGGTCCCTGCTTTGCCAAATGTATGTAGATCCTTGCTCTCAGAATCCCCTCCAACAATTTACCCACTGCGGATGTCAGGCTCACTGGTTTATAGTTCCCAGGCCTCTCCTTACAGCTTTTCTTAAATAAAGGCACAACATTCGCCACCCTCCAGCCCTCCAGCAACTTTCCTGTGGCTGTAGGTGATGCAAATGTCTCTGCTAGGGGGTCCCACAAATTCCTCCCTGGCTTCCCACAATGTCCTGCGATACACTTGATCAGGTCCCAGGGATTTATCTACCTTTATGTTTTTTTAAGATCTCCAGCACCTCCTGTTCTGTAATGTGAACTGTTTATGAGACATCAATATTCTCAACTACATTTTCCTGCCTTTTCCCCGTAACCCTTCCTGATTAAAAGTCTGTCTGTCTGAGCCTTGAACATACTGAATGACCCAGCCTCGACTGCCCTCTGTGATAAAGAATTTCACAGATTCATTATTCTCTGAGAGAAGAAATTACTCCTCATCTCTGTCTGAAAATCTCTGCCTTACTCTGAGATGATGTCCTTGGGTCCTCACCTTCTCACCCACAACCTCTGCACACCTCCCCTATCATGTCCCCTAAGAATCTTATACATTTCAATAAGGTCACCCTCTCATTCTTCGAAATACCAATGAGTACAGGCCCTAACCTACACAACGTGTCCTCATAAGACAGTCCCTCCATACCTGAGTGAACCTTCTCTGGGCATTCTCCAATGTCAGGACATTTTTCCTCACATAAGGGACACAAAACTGTTCACGGTATTTAAGGTGTGATCTGATTAGCACCTTGTAAAGTTTTAGCAAGCCGTTCCTAGTTTTATATTTCATTAACTTTAGGAATAAAGGCCAACTTTTGCCCCTCCTATTAATGGAATATTGTTGTTTGTTGCTGGGGAATGGAGTATAAATAGCCACCTACAGACTCACCCTGAGAGTGTAGCTCTGAGGAAAGGTCACCGGACCCGAAACGTTAGCTTTGATTTTCTCTTCACAGATGGTGCCAGACCTGCTGAGCTTTTCCAGCAACTTCTGTTTTTGTTCCTGAGAGTCATCCTCTTCTGCAACCACCAGTAATGATGATGACATTGCTGCTACTGAGCATTGATGGTGGAGGAGAGAGTGGATCCTATTTTTTATTTACTCATGGGGTGAGGGCGTTGCTGGCTAGGCTATCATTTATTGCCCATCCCTAATTGCCCAGGGAGCAGTTAGGAGTCAACCACATTGCTGTGGGTCTGGAGTCACATGTAGACCAGACCAGGTAAGGATGGCAGCTTCCTTCCCTAAAGGACATTAGTGAACCAGATGGGTTTTTCCAACAATCGACAATTGATTCACAGCCATCGTTAGACTCTTCATTCCAGATATTTATTGAATTCAAATTCTATTATCTGCCATGGTGGGTTTTGAATCTAAGGTGCCCAGAACATTAGCTGAGTCTCTGGATTAATAGTCTAGCAATAATACCACTGAGTCATTGCCTCCCCCCTACGTTTGTGAATGTGGTGCCAGTCAAGCCGGCTGCTTTGCACTGGATGGTATTGAGCTTCTTCAGTAATTTTGGAGCTGCATCCATCCAGCCAAGTGGAGAGTGTTTCATCAAAGGGGACTGGACCAGTTGAGGCTGATGTCCTGGGTTTCCCTCACTGTTAAAGTCACTGAAAATAAAAGATTATGGGGACAGGAGCTGGCAGAATTCCTGCATTTGTTCCCAGGTCACTGGCTGGGCAAACATTTACTTCCCCCAATCCCTAACCAGTCGTGAAGAGATGGAGACAGACCACCTTCACAAATTGCCACAGTCGTTGAAGTTTACATGTTGTTCTTGCGGTTTATAAACACCACGACCATTTCCGAGGGTCAGACGTTGTTGTGGGTGCAGAGTCACAGAGAGACCGGACCAGATAAAGACAGCAATTTCAGAGGTTGCTGGAGAAGCTCAGAAGGTCTGGCAGCATCCGTGGAGAGAAAATCAGAGTTAATCTCCTCCACAGGAATTCTGAGGAAGGGTCACCGGGCCCAAAACGTTAACTCCGATTTCTCTCCACGGATGCTGCCAGACCTGCTGAGCTTTTCCAGCAACTTCTGTTTCTGATTTACAGCATCCGCAGTTCTTTCGGTTTTGATTTAGGACAGTAAATTACCTTTCCATCAGTGAATTAAAATGCGTTTTTAATACAATCAATGAGAGCTTCAAGGTGCAATTGCTGGGATAAGCTGTGTCATTTATTTCATTCATTCAATTTAATTCAATGATTTGAATGGGATTTGAACTCATGCCTCCCAGGGGATCAGGGTCAGCCTCTGGATTCCTAGGACAGTTGCAAGAACCACGATGCCTCTATCTTCTGGATGATTGATTTGTAATCTTGCCTACAATCACTTCCAGGTCCCACCATACAGATGAGAAACAGCAATAAGTTGTACTTGTATTATGGGAGTTACATTTGCTAATCTAACCATGTGCAGAATCTGATTCTACATGTAAGTATCACACAGTGAGAAAGTAATACATGCCAAAAAAAAATCCCGAATAATGATACAGTACATCTGTAATGGTGCAAAGAGGCAATCTCAAGAGGAGATATCTTCGGAGATCCTGCCATTTTCCTTCTTCAGATTCTTTTCTTGGATTCTCCTGGTTGCTGGGTTCAAAAGGCACTTTGTTCCTGGTGCACATATCGTCTCAGTTAATCTGGTCATGGGGCAGTTGTAGGGAGGGGAGGGAGTGGAGAGCTGGGCTAATCTCATGGTCGGGTTAAGGGTTTAGGGCATCGCTCTCCACCTGTCTCCCCAAGGTCCTAAGCAATCTCCTGTTGGTGCTGTGTGGATTCACTGATGACCTGGCAGGAAGAGCAAAGAGATGTTTACTTACCCCATAATACAGGCAAATTACCCTCCAATATTGCTCCCCCACTGTTGTAACAGTGGAGGTCATATGACACCATTGGGTACGAACAAGAAGTTGACGACTTAGACACCCTACAATGTGGAAACAGGCCCTTCAACCCAACAAGTCCACACCGGCCCTCGGAGCATTCCACCCAGACCCATCCCACATAACCCACTGAATCTACACATCCCTGAACACTATGGGAAATTTAGCATGGCCAATCCACCTAGCCTGCACATCTTTCGACTGTGGGAGGAAACCCACGCAGACACGGGGAGAATGTGCAAACTCCACACAGACAGTTGCCTGAGGCTGGAATCGAACCCAAATCCCTGGCACTGTGAGGCAGCAGTGCTAACCACTGAGCCACTGAGCCACCGTGCCACCCACTGCCTCTGGCTCAGGGACCCTAGGTTCAAGTCCCAGTCCGGGAGTTGATTGGGATGGACGGTGTGTTCATAACAAGCTAAATCCTTCCAAAACTCACTAATGGCAGGCAGGGAGGGGTGGGGTGGGAGGAGGGAAAGGTTGGTCTTCATAGTCAACCATGGGGATACCACAATATCCATAGCTCAAGGCTGCAATATGCTGGCAACATTGCAACAATGGCAACCAGCATCAGCACTCTGGTGAACCCTTTAGGCTGTGACAGGCTGTGTCTAAAGGCGCACCTTTCATTCCAAACAGCCACTGTTTAGTGGGGCCTGTGACCAGGAGCAGTTTCCAGACCCTGGCCTAGCTCCCCCCGCCCACAAACACTGACCTCAGGATGCCCTCCCTCCACCCAGCGCCGACACTCACCCGCAGTCTCCCTCCCCTCGGTATGAGCTTTCAACGAAGAGGATCCCCTCCCCTCAATCACGGTAAAGGCATTAATCCCAACCTCCCAGCCCCATCTGACATTCTGGGTGGAATGCTACAGCCCACTGTTCCAAAGTACTGGGCCTCTCCCCTCCATCTCTTCTACATGTCTACAACCACCTCATCTGTGGGATCTTACTGTGTACAAATTGGCTGTAGAATTTTCCCACTTCACAGCAGTGACCCCAGGTCCAGAGGAAATACTAAACTGGTTATAAAATACTCATGGATCCCGGTGCTAGAGAAATGCAGGGCCCTTTCTCTCATTCATGTTCTTAATAAAATTTTCTTTCACAGATTGTGGGCAATGCTGGCTGGGTCAGAGGGTGGAAAGAGTCAACCACATTGCTGTGGGTCTGGAGTCACATGTAGGCCAGACCAGGTAAGGATGGCAGATTTCCTTCCCTCGTGAACCAGATATTTTTGCTCAACAAAAGTAAAAATCCTTTAGACTCACTTTTAATTCCAGATTTATGAATTAAATTCAAATTTCACCACAGGCTATAGAAGGATTTCAAACCATCGGGCCATCCCACTACCTGCCCCTGTGCAACAGAATTGTCACCACCCCATCTCACGTTTCCTTCCTCTCCCCCTCCATCTCTCACACACCTCACTTTCCCTCTCTCTCTATCTCTCTGGTCTTTCCCCCACTCTCTCTTTCTTTCTCTCTTTCCCTCTCTTCTCCCTGTTTTCCTCTCTTGCTTTTCCTTTCTCTCTTTCCTTGTCCCTCTCTCCATGCCTCCTGCTTTCAATGACCCTCTCTCCCTCTCATTTATCCCCCATTCGCTCTCTATCTATCTCTCCCCATCTCTCTTCTCTCTTTTCCTCTCTCTCTCCCCCTCTTTTCTTGTGTCTCCTTCTCTGTCCCATCTTCACCTCCCACTTTTCCTGTCCCTCTCTTTCTCGCTCCTGCTCCCTCTATCTCTCACCCCCATCGTTCCCTGTCCCTCCCTCTCTCTCTTGCTCCCCTTCTTTTCCCCTGCTCTCTATTCTCCACACTCTCTTTCCCCTTTCCTCTCTTCCTTTCCCCACATTCTTCCCCCCACTTCTCCCTTGCTGTCTCTCACTTTCCTCCCTCTCTTTTCCCCAATCACACCCTCTTCCCTCCCTCTCTCTTTCATCCTCCTCTCTCTCTATCTCTCTTTCCCATCTACCTCTTTTTCTTCCCCCCTTCTCTCCCTCTCTCTTTCTTCCACCCCATCTCTCTCTCTCTCTTTCCCTTCCCTCGCAGCTCTCTCTCTCTCTTTTTGCCGCCTCTCTGTTTCCACCCCTCTCTCCTGTCACCGTTCCCCTCACCTGTGGCCTAGTGGTATATCGTTGGACTGTTAATCCAGAGACCTAGATAACATTCTGGGGACCCAGGTTCAAATCCTGCCATGGCAGATGGTGGAATTTGAATTCAATGAAAAACATCCGGAATTAAGTGTCTAATGATGACTGTGAATCCATTGACAATTGTTGGAAAACCCATCTCGTTCACTAATGTCCCTTAGGGAAAGAAACTGCCATCCTTACCTGATCTGGGCCTACACGTGACTCCAAACCCACAGCAATGTGGTTGACACTGAACTCCCCTCTGGGCAATTAGGGATAGGTAATAAACGCTGCCTAGCCAGCGACACCCTCATTCCATGAATGAATAAGGAAATAAAAACCCCAACCTCTCTCTGAGCGTTTTGTTTCTCTCACCTCTCCGTCTCTGCTTTCATAAGTCTTGATGGTGACAGATTTTTTGGTATGTACCTCTGCAAGTCGGCCTTGCTCAGGGCTGGTCTCTGGAAGGAAGACAGCAGACAGGTCAGTAACTCCCACATTCCGACTCCGGGCAAGAGTCTCTCCGACTGGGAGGGAGACGATTACCTACCTCTCAAACTCAGAGTTGAGAATGTCTGTACCGGCATCACAATCCTGGACAAAAAAGTAAAACAGGAACCGTCATTACTCATTTGTTAACACTGAAACATCCTTCACCCTGTGAGCATCAGGATGTTTAAAGAGTCTTCTTCATTGTCCCCGAACCTGAGCCCATTCAATTTCTGTCGAGAATGTTGGAGAAAGGTTCCCAGCATGAAACTGGTCACTTTGCACAAGGTGATCACCATTGATCAAAGATCCCTACACAGTCTCATCAGATCTCTCCAAACCCAGCCGGCCCGGCCAGGAGGAATGAGGAGATCCCATGGCCAATATTGTAAAGTACCATTGAGTAATTATTCCGCAGGGTCATTATCAGATTGTGGGAGCTCCATTTGCCGCAACGTTTCCTATTTTAGAAACTCGACATTTGATTCCATTTCAGTTCTACAGGTCATCATTGGCATCATAAAATACTGCTATGTAAATGGAAATGTTTTATTCTTCGATTAATATCGATAACTGGGTGGAATAGGGTGACCGCAAATCAAACAACACTCACCTCTACAAAACATACAGGCTGGCTCAGTACTGTGGGAGAGCCGCACTGTCAGAGGGTCAGTACTGAGGGAATGCCGCACTGTCGCAGGGTCAGTACTGAGGGAGTGCCGCACTGTCGGAGGGTCAGTGCTGAGGGAGCGCCGCACTGTCGGAGGGTCAGTGCTAAGGG